AAACTATATCAGTTATATTAAGTATTACGTTTTTGTACACAACAAACCTAATAATATTTATTAATACTAATAATAATAACTAGCGAGCTTCGGTAGGATATCTAGTACCCCCAATTCACATTCGTGACTTTGGATGTCAAACGGTGCGTTTTCATAAATGAAATTTGCTGAAAACTTACGTCATATATCGTTATAACTTTAAATTAACATCAAGCCTCTAATTAGGCAGTGATTGTCGAATATTTCAAATCGCCATTTAGGCCATTCAATTTATTTTCTGTTGTCATTATATTGGCTTTGTGGTCAGGTAAACGTTTGCATACAGTAACGGACAATGTTGTGCAATTTTTTTTTCAAATTACAATAGAGCAATGGCACTGATAATGATTTTCAGGGTCTTGTGATAGTGACGTGCTACGCCGTGTATGTAGGTAGGTTATGAGCATTTAGTGACATTTTGTTTGCGTTATTAAAATTATATTTTTTTTTTACAAAACTGGAGTGACAATCAATCAAGCGCAGAGCCAACCGTCGGCCTGATAATGTCAAGTGTGTGATAATCTGATAAAGACGATAAAATTGTGAGAGACGAAATACTCCCAAGATGTGACTACCTATAAGAATAAAATTAAAATGATTCCAAAATTATTTTATACTTTTATAGAAAATGCAATTAAGAGTTTAATTTATGAATTATTTTCTTCTCAATTTAATTAAAATGAGTTCCTTCACTTTATTGTTATATTTACGAAAATCTCTGTTGAAAGAATGTTTACGAAAATTATATGTATTTAAACTAAAACAAAAATAGTGTTAGTACAATCTGTAAATACTAGGAACCTGTACAAGCTAGTTATACCAGTTACTCGAGTCCAAAGAGAAAGTAATTCTCTTGTATTTGTATACTTTCTCAAATACGCAGGATCTATCAATCAAACAGCTTAAAATTTTTACTTAAACATAAAGCTTTGGCCGTAGAAGGTAAAGGGGAGATTTCCCGCCGGGCAAGGGGCTCGGCCCGGGGAGCGGTAGTTCAATGCTTGAAGTGGTAGTTCGGAGCCATTCTATGTATATATATATTACTGCTTTACTTCGGAAATTTGATAGCGTGATTTAGCGCGACGACAGTGCCGCTACAAAACCGTCGATTACTACTAAGGAGTATAGGATTGATAATACCCAAGGGCTATAAGGTGTTTAGTTAATGAGGTAATCGCTGTTTCAAACTGTTTCAAAATGTTTTTATGTTTAATTGTATAAAATATTATATTGTAAATTAACTTTTAAAACAATTGCTGGTTCTTCCCAGGACAAAGGTTTTTTCCGAACCACTGGTAAAAGCATAAAATGAATCAATAAGTATTCTTGTGATATAACAAGCTGTCCAAAAAGAGTATCGGGTATACAGTGCAATAAAGCAAAAATTACTAGTATTCAAATAATTTTTTATTGTTGATTATCAGAATACAAAATGGGAAATCATTTCGAAAAGTTAATGTTATCCAAATATTATCCAAATTGACGTGGTAGCGCCATGCTGCAGCTATATTAATAGTATAGTTGTAGCAAAAATGGGTCGGCTCGACCGGGGAAGGACCACGCTCTCGCAGAATACCAGCGTAAAATAGCAGCTTAATGCTGCTGTGTTTCGTATGGTGAGTGTAGAGAACCGGAGACCCTTTTTACTGGAAACGAGGCATTCTATCTTAGTCCTCATGGCTGACAACGCATCTGTATTTTAATTCGTAAACGAATAATGATGCAGATGTCTATGGGCCACAGCAACCACTTAGCACCAGGTGGACTGTGTGCTCGTTTGTCACCCTTATTATACATAAAAAAATGGTGACCTGGCACTCCAAGCTGGAACGAAGATAATACGCTGACACATATCACTCGATATTGCTGCAATTTCTGACCTGATGTTTTGATTCAATTGCGTTAGGTTTGTCGGATTATTCTTATAAACTTTACTTTTAAGTTATCCTCATACGAAATAGTCAAGCGGGCTAAGGTCGGGGCTTCAGGGAGGTCAGTTGATGTCACCTCTACGTGAAATGATCTTATTAGGGAATAATTGGTTAACAATTTCAATTGCCCCGTCTTGTTGAAACCATGTTCTTGAGTTGAAACCTTTAAGTACAAAAAGTTTGGCAGCATATCACAATAATGGTCACTATGTACATTGAGCGGGCGGCCTCGTCGATCTTCATGAAAATAAGAGCCTAAAATAAGAGATATTATGCCTTTACTAGACATAGCGGCCTACACAACGACGTTTGATCTGTGCAGGGGAAGTTCATGCTTTCGGCTCCGATTCTCCTCTGTCCAGTATCGACAATTTATTTATTTATTTATTCTTTATTGCACTAAATATTTGTACAAAAGGCGAGCTTAATGCTATATGGCATTCTCTACCAGCTAACCTTGGGTAGAACAGAGAGTGAGTTTGGGCAGTTAAGTTGTCATGATATAATTCAGTTCAAATATATACATGCAACACACACACATATATAAATAAATACACACATTTATACATATATATCTCAATAAATGTATATATAAATAACTATAAACATATAAGTTGACTCAGCTTTGTAGGCTACGGATATGCTCATATAGTTTTCTTTTAAAAACATTTTTGGCAGGTATTGTTCGGAGGTCAACAATTCCATTCAGGTGAAATTTGGCTTCGTTACTGAACAGTATGTTTTCAAAGTTGTCGAATCGCGGCAGCATTTCGTTCTCAAAATTCAATCAGATTACGTGGTCCGTATCCTTAAAATCCTGAAATAATTGAATTTTATACGCTTTTAAATGCAAATCTTTCTTTAAAATCGAATGCAAAGACGATTTTTTGATGTTCGTCAAAAAGATAAAGACGGATTTTGACGAACTGGCACCTTCACATTGTTTCTTGGTCGCGGACTGAACGCGGGTGACCAAAGTTTTGAATTTTTACCGTCGCTCTTGGAAAATCCGGATCCATTTTTAATGCTATTCGTCAGTTGGTGCATTGCGTGTACGATACTTCGCACGATACAAATGTTGAGGTGTCACTATTGAATCACCGTTACGATAATACGCTCGTACGCAAAAAGTGCGTTGCGTCTCCGGCTACAGCTCCATTGAGACTAAAACTTCACAAAATGGCGGCAATGTTGCCAGATCATAAAACTCATTCAGCGGTAGGACGACACAAAAAGCGCTATTTCATGAAAATAACGCTTTAAAAAGCGCTAGATTTCGCGCTAAATTAACTAGATTTTTTCTTGAATTATAAATTATAATAAAAAAACACAAAGAAAGTTCAACCAAATCGTTTAATTTCGTTATCATCATAATAAAGAAAACAACATTAAGTTTTTTTTTCTGGCTATACTTTTCCGATGTACCAATACTGCGCAGGATATGGACTTATAATTATAGCAATTTCTGTCAACAGCAGTTAGTTCTGTACGAAAAATTAAAATGGCATTAACTGTTTTAAAGTGCATATTATTTCGCAACTTAGTTTTAACAACATTCAAAAAATTAAATATATTAGACGTAATGAAAAACTACAAATAAGATTAATTTTCTGATGAGAAAAAGCTAGGCATCGGGGCATAATAAATGTTTTCTTACTCTCCTATAATTAAAAAAAAATGAGATTCGCCCCTTTGCGGCATTAGTGATGAACTGACTGAAACTGAATAAAGCAAATCAAATGTGTTGCCAAAACCATGAACGGAAACTCGGTAAAAAAATTCAAGTTGATCATCATAAAGGAGCACCCGGGAGATCCATAGCACAGGGTATCCTAGTTTGGACTCCAGTCTCCCACAAATTTATGTACACTTTGCTTTATTTAGAAAAAAATATGTTTGTAAAAGATAAATTGCAATGTACTATTTGTGGGAGAGAATAATAAAGGTCATTATTATTATTAATATCGGTAATGTAGACAAAAAAAATATAAAAGAGTTAGATAACACTCTAGACATTACAATTTTGAAATATGTGCTAAATACACCAAAAAGCGCTAGATTTAGCGCTAGGTGCTAAAATTTTGTCATGCGCGCTAAACATTCCAAAAAAGCGCTAGATCTAGCTCCCAAACTCAAAAAAGAACAAAAATTGTCTTATATGAGACTTAAAAATAACATAATTGGTAAAAACAATACATTTAAATACGGTAACTTATATGATAATATTATTATCAAATCATGTTATTACAAAATATTCGTGTATAACGTGGTACAACAGCACTAGCTCTAATTCGAGGAAAGCCTGAAGTGGGGGCAGCGGGAGTGTCGACCTGGCCGCGCGTGCTCCGAATCACCTTAATAAATTTTCTTAAAATCAGTATTTTCGTGTCAAAATATTGCTTATTTATGAAAAGAAATATCATTATTCTTATAAGTTTGCTTCCGTAAATCGTTTTTACAACTTATTACTGCACATTTCACCGTGGTAACGTAAAATACAAGTAAATACCAGCGAGAGCAACAATCTGCGCCCGTGTCCTTTCGTGACTAATAACGTCGCCCTTGTAATTTTTAGGACTGTTCATACTAGTGCTTACTGTTCATACTCACTAACTCACGCTCTATAGCTTGCTTATGTAAGCTATGTTTCTGTTCCGTTTCCTCATGTGGTACAAAGACGCGGGGTGGATGCGGTGAACATTTACTCACGTGATTGGTACGTCAGTTAATCTTCGTCATCTATTGAATATTTGTCTGTCATATACCTGAAGTATATTGGCTGGAAAATGTACATGCGCAAATTCTGTCACTTGGTGCTCACGACTCGCGCCGCTATTTACACTTCGATCGTCCTTCCACTTGCAAAGCGTCACGATTAATCCTCACGTATAGCAGTAGACTTTTACGGACTGATGAAGAAGAGATTAAAAACTAACTCCCCCATAGATCGCCTCATAGGGGCATTTTGAGCTTATTATTACCCCGCTACTTGGTTATATATATATAAATATTTTTAATAATTGCTTACAGATGCGATTTCAACAAATACACAATACGTTGCATAAAGTCCGTCGCGGAGTTCGCGCCAAAACAAGAAGACGTGGAAATGGACAGCGACAACGAATCAAGCGGCCGCGGTACTTTCTCCGACACAGATTAGTTTTTAAATAAATATTTTTATTGAAATTGAGTTTTTTTTTGTAACATGTCGCATGTTTATTGATGTGAATAATTTATGAATTTAAATGAAACTAATTTTACGGATTTTATCGCGTATATTAACTTATTTTACATTCCCGACGTTTCAAGCACTTTACAGCACCCATGGTCACGGGGGGGACTGAGGTGTATGACGTCCCAATGTCATAGTTAACCACGGCTACCTCCAGATTAAAAATTATTAATTTTTGTTCCGATCTACGCAGTATGAACTTACAGTATCATGAAGTCTTGCAGTTGTATGCTTTGGTTGGGATTTAATTTTATTAATTATGGGATCCCAAGCAGATGGTAGCACCCAGCCATCTTCTCTATTGAAATTAGGATGTTTTTTGATTTCAATAGCCTCGCGAATCATCCTTGGAAGGAATCGGTGTTCTTTAGCGAGGATTTGTGGTCTATCAAATCTAATGTAGTGACGGGGGCGATCCTGTACATGTTCACAGACTGCAGACTTCCCGGAGCGTCTATTCTTCACATCAGCTATGTGTTCTTTAACGCGGGTTTTTATGGATCTTTTAGTTTGTCCTATATAAGAGAGACCACATTCACAATCCAGCTTGTACACTCCTGCATCTTGCAGAGGAATATTACACTTGACTGACGTTAAATAAACGAGAAATTAATAAATATAATGAATGCAAAAACAAACATATAATAAAATATCAAAAATTAACGAGCAAATTAAATGTCAAACATCTGCGTCGACGTGAGAACGAAACGCAACCGTCGACTACGAACGCGGATCATAGATTAAACGCGGTCTATAATCTGTCTAAACAAACTCTGGATGATGCAACAATTAGAGTATTATCGAAAGGTCTTAATTTTGCTATAACACCGAAAAAATTACCGTACGAACAAATTATCTGTAGTGTCGAGGACTGTTTATTTAAAAACAATATGCAAAAGGAGGATTTGGAAGCGATACGTCAAGACATTTCGTCTATGTTACGTCGAAGTTCAGCGCCAAAACCGAATCTACCTAAAGACGAATTCAAAGCGTTGACTAACCTACGCAATAAACCAGAACTCACGATTCTCCGCGCAGATAAGGGAAATGCCACGGTAGTTATGGATACGTCAGATTATAATTCTAAAATACAAGAACTTTTGTCGGATGCAAGTACGTATAAAAAGGTTAAAAATGACCCAACAAATAACACACTTAAAACAACTAGTGATCTCATAAAGAAACACTCCGAAAAATTAAATCTAGACGTAAAATCGATAATACCTACGTGTGCTAAACCACCGAAGTTGTATGGGTTACCAAAAATACACAAGCCCAATGCTCCACTACGTCCTATAGTGAGCCAAATCGATTCACCAACTTACAGATTGGCTCAATACTTAGCGAATATACTCTCACCGCTCAAGGGACATACAAGAGCACACACAAAGGATTCCTACCAATTTGTCAGCGAGATTAAAGACCTACATCTGGCAGACAATGAAACTATGGTGAGTTTTGATGTGCAGTCTCTATTCACATGCCTACCTGTTGAAGACTGCATCTCGATTGTTACTAGAAGGCTAGAGGAAAACAACATGCCCGTAGAATATGCAGTATTACTCAGACACTGCCTTACATCTGGCTACCTATTGTGGAAGGAGGAGTTCTACAAGCAAGTAGATGGAGTGGCGATGGGCTCACCTGTATCTCCCATTGTCGCCGATATATTCATGGAGGACTTTGAGGAGAAAGCCCTGCTTACTTCTCCCATAAACCCAAGATTCTACAAGCGGTACGTAGACGACACTTTCACAATTCTACCTTTAGATAAAGTAACTGCATTTTTAGACCATCTTAACTCCTTAAATTCTAAAATTCAGTTCACAATGGAGTTAGAGGCAAACAATTCTTTAGCTTTTCTAGATGTATTAGTAATTCGGAATCCTGATAACACCTTGAGCCACACTGTGTATAGAAAAAAGACCCATACAGATAGATATTTAAACGGTGATTCTCACCACCATCCTTCACAGTTAGCTACCGTGGGTAAATCTTTGTTTCAGAGAGCACGAGGGATCTGTGACAGTAAACACCTGGCCGCCGAGCTCCAACACGTCAAGCAAGTTTTGCACGACAATAAGCTTCGGGTCCCGCGCCTACGTCACAGTGAACGAGTGAAGCCGGCCACAGTCGAGCGAGTGCCTGCTGTACTGCCATATGTCAGAGGTGTCACTGACAAGATTGGCTACATCTTGAAGCGTGCTTCCATTAAAACATATTTCAAGCCGCCGAAGAAGATTAGTCAGTTTTTACCATCAGTCAAGTGTAATATTCCTCTGCAAGATGCAGGAGTGTACAAGCTGGATTGTGAATGTGGTCTCTCTTATATAGGACAAACTAAAAGATCCATAAAAACCCGCGTTAAAGAACACATAGCTGATGTGAAGAATAGACGCTCCGGGAAGTCTGCAGTCTGTGAACATGTACAGGATCGCCCCCGTCACTACATTAGATTTGATAGACCACAAATCCTCGCTAAAGAACACCGATTCCTTCCAAGGATGATTCGCGAGGCTATTGAAATCAAAAAACATCCTAATTTCAATAGAGAAGATGGCTGGGTGCTACCATCTGCTTGGGATCCCATAATTAATAAAATTAAATCCCAACCAAAGCATACAACTGCAAGACTTCATGATACTGTAAGTTCATACTGCGTAGATCGGAACAAAAATTAATAATTTTTAATCTGGAGGTAGCCGTGGTTAACTATGACATTGGGACGTCATACACCTCAGTCCCCCCCGTGACCATGGGTGCTGTAAAGTGCTTGAAACGTCGGGAATGTAAAATAAGTTAATATACGCGATAAAATCCGTAAAATTAGTTTCATTTAAATGTGTAGTGTTCGCGTAAATATAAGAAATCACTATGTGAACCAGTACGGACTGGTAATTGCAAATAAAATTCGCCGATTAGAAGATCTCGTGACTAAGCGCGCAAGATATATAACAGCACTAAACTTTTTAAAACGCTGTCGTGATAATAATATCATCCCTACGTGTGTCAAAATATCCACTAAAAAGGACATTCGAGGAAGCGCTAAGATCTTAAATGAGGCAAGTAAAAAGTTGTTACGAACGGTAATCCAACAAAAACGCTCCGATCTACATACCATAAACAAATCCATAGACACATCATTCAGTGATTTAAAGGCAGTTTTAACGACATTTGATTATAATGTTTGCATCGAAACGTTAAATAAACGAGAAATTAATAAATATAATGAATGCAAAAACAAACATATAATAAAATATCAAAAATTAACGAGCAAATTAAATGTCAAACATCTGCGTCGACGTGAGAACGAAACGCAACCGTCGACTACGAACGCGGATCATAGATTAAACGCGGTCTATAATCTGTCTAAACAAACTCTGGATGATGCAACAATTAGAGTATTATCGAAAGGTCTTAATTTTGCTATAACACCGAAAAAATTACCGTACGAACAAATTATCTGTAGTGTCGAGGACTGTTTATTTAAAAACAATATGCAAAAGGAGGATTTGGAAGCGATACGTCAAGACATTTCGTCTATGTTACGTCGAAGTTCAGCGCCAAAACCGAATCTACCTAAAGACGAATTCAAAGCGTTGACTAACCTACGCAATAAACCAGAACTCACGATTCTCCGCGCAGATAAGGGAAATGCCACGGTAGTTATGGATACGTCAGATTATAATTCTAAAATACAAGAACTTTTGTCGGATGCAAGTACGTATAAAAAGGTTAAAAATGACCCAACAAATAACACACTTAAAACAACTAGTGATCTCATAAAGAAACACTCCGAAAAATTAAATCTAGACGTAAAATCGATAATACCTACGTGTGCTAAACCACCGAAGTTGTATGGGTTACCAAAAATACACAAGCCCAATGCTCCACTACGTCCTATAGTGAGCCAAATCGATTCACCAACTTACAGATTGGCTCAATACTTAGCGAATATACTCTCACCGCTCAAGGGACATACAAGAGCACACACAAAGGATTCCTACCAATTTGTCAGCGAGATTAAAGACCTACATCTGGCAGACAATGAAACTATGGTGAGTTTTGATGTGCAGTCTCTATTCACATGCCTACCTGTTGAAGACTGCATCTCGATTGTTACTAGAAGGCTAGAGGAAAACAACATGCCCGTAGAATATGCAGTATTACTCAGACACTGCCTTACATCTGGCTACCTATTGTGGAAGGAGGAGTTCTACAAGCAAGTAGATGGAGTGGCGATGGGCTCACCTGTATCTCCCATTGTCGCCGATATATTCATGGAGGACTTTGAGGAGAAAGCCCTGCTTACTTCTCCCATAAACCCAAGATTCTACAAGCGGTACGTAGACGACACTTTCACAATTCTACCTTTAGATAAAGTAACTGCATTTTTAGACCATCTTAACTCCTTAAATTCTAAAATTCAGTTCACAATGGAGTTAGAGGCAAACAATTCTTTAGCTTTTCTAGATGTATTAGTAATTCGGAATCCTGATAACACCTTGAGCCACACTGTGTATAGAAAAAAGACCCATACAGATAGATATTTAAACGGTGATTCTCACCACCATCCTTCACAGTTAGCTACCGTGGGTAAATCTTTGTTTCAGAGAGCACGAGGGATCTGTGACAGTAAACACCTGGCCGCCGAGCTCCAACACGTCAAGCAAGTTTTGCACGACAATAAGCTTCGGGTCCCGCGCCTACGTCACAGTGAACGAGTGAAGCCGGCCACAGTCGAGCGAGTGCCTGCTGTACTGCCATATGTCAGAGGTGTCACTGACAAGATTGGCTACATCTTGAAGCGTGCTTCCATTAAAACATATTTCAAGCCGCCGAAGAAGATTAGTCAGTTTTTACCATCAGTCAAGTGTAATATTCCTCTGCAAGATGCAGGAGTGTACAAGCTGGATTGTGAATGTGGT